CCGCCTGCTGATGCAGGGGACATGGGTTCGTGCCCCAGTCCGGGAAGATGCCACATGCCACGGAGCGGCTGGGCCCGTGAGCCATGGCCGCTGAGCCTGCGTGTCCGGAGTCTGTGCTCCGCAACGGGAGAAGCCACAACAGTGAGAGGCCCACGTACCGCAAAAAAAAAAAAAAAAAAAAAAAAGAATCCTCCTGCCAATTCAGGGGACATGGGTTTGATCCCTGGTCCGGGAAGATCCCACATGCCACGGAGCAACCAAGCCAGTGCACCGCAACTACTGAAGCCCACGCACTCTAGGGCCCGCTTACCACACTACTGAGCCTGTGTGCTGCAACTACTGAAGCCTGTGTGCCGCAACTACTGAAGCCTGTGTGCCTAGATCCCATGCCCTGCAACAAAAGAAGCCACGGCAATGAGAAACCCGCACACCACAATGAAGAGTAGTTCTCGCTCGCGGCAACTAGAGAAAGCCCGTGCGCAGCAACAAAGACCCAACACAACCAAAAAAAGAAAAAACAAAAAACATCTAACACACAAAGGAAGCCAAGAAGTGGCTGGGAATAAACCTCCAGTCTAATCACCTCTACTTCACACCACCACGGAAGGTATTTCAAATGTGGGGAAGCTGCATTTCCTAAAAGTTTCCCACTATCAATCAGGTTTCACTTTGCTTAAGCTCACACAGCGACGTGAAAGAACCTAGGACATGAATGCCTAGTTGTGGTAAGTATCCAACAAATGTCATAAAAGTTAGCCCTGGTTTTTTAATAAGTTATTTAACACCATAAATGTTACCATCTAGAGAGGTCAAAAGACAGTATTTTGTTAAGGAAAAGTATTTCCTCCACTGTGCCAGGCAGTCACGGGCATATATAAATCACAGACTTCAAACTGGAAGGCAGTGCATCGGGTTCACTTCTTTTTTTGGCTGTGCTGTGTGGCGTGCGGGACTTTAGCTCCTTGACCAGGGATGGACCCCAGGCCCCTGGTAGTGAGAGTGCTGAGTCCTAACCACTGGACTGCCAGGGAATTTCCAGGGATCACTTATTTCTTGAAACAGAATAAAGGGTTTTTAATCTAAACCAATGGATTTTCTACTTCATGAGACCCTCAAAAACATGACATTTATTTACATGAATCTAAAGTCCATGTGACTACCATAGACTGGACTTGATAAAATACGTTAATTTCAAATTCTCTAAGCCAACCAATCCAATTTTCAGAAATTACTGTTTTCTTGAACTTTAAAAATATACTTAGAGTATGATTCCATTTCTGTAAGTTTCTAGGAAAATTAATCTAGTGTTAGGTTAGTGGTCATTTGAGGGGTGAAAACAGTGACTATGAGGGGGCTTTCTCCTCTACCAGTAATGTTCAGTTTCTTGACCTCAGTGCTAATTACACAAGTTGGTTTCACTGTGTGAATACGTAAAATCTGTTATTTCCCTCTAACTATGCTTCAATTACGAATACATATATAACTTGTTTGTAAAATCTGCTATTTCCCTCTAACTATGCTTCAATTACAAATACATATATAACTTGTCTGTCACAGAGGATCTGAAAACCACCCCTGTTATTTTTTGAAACAAAAAAAAAAAACTAACTTCGACCCACCAATATTAAAAGTAAAAATTTTGAAACCACAAAATCCATTTTAGCTGTCTCAAAAAGGCCTAACCAAGATTTGAAGCAGGCAAGCTCTCACAGGATTTTAGAGCTGGCAGCTAATTTGATCAGCATATAGAAGGGCCGCCATCAGAGGAATAGGCACAATCCATTAGAGTCCTAATAAGCATATCTAAAGCACAAGAGTACTGTGATGCTGTTTTGGGGCTAAAAACCCCCAAACATACAATATCTATCCCTTGAGTTATCTAAGCACGTCTGTAACCAGACCATACCTTATTTGCATTGCTTGAACTCTTAGGCCGCTGTAATCAACCTCTTTTTGCTCAAATTCTTTCCACTCATCTTCATCCTGTAAAACAGGTACCACTTAGTCAATTAAAGCTATTTGTAAAAACACAACTAAGACAACTATCAGACTATGAAAAAGGGATGAAGCGGCTGGAACCTAAAGTGTGGACTCGTTTTCTGGCCAAAGCCCTTGCTCAATCCCAAGGCCAACTAGGCTGGAGGACAAACGTGAGTAAACTTTACTTCCACCGCGTTCCTTCATGAGACCTGTTACTTTAAAAGCAACCAGGAAACGCCAGATGAAATCAACAGGAAGCCCACAACTAAACGTCTAGCTCAATCTTGCCATGAGACTTTTCTTTTACGGACTTCGGGACCAAGTCGTGCCAGTTAGAGCTGCCACAAATGTGATTGTTAGAAAATTCAGCTCAGACTACTGGTCTGAAATCAGAACGCTAAATTACTCAGAGTAGACGTCATTCGATAGATGCACTTCCGACCCGGGCCGATTCCCCGGGAGGGTGCCGCCGCCAGCTTGCGTCCTCGCCCGAGCCAAGCGACGCGGGTCGGGAGCGGGGTGCCGGGGGTCCAGCGGGGAGCGCGAGGCGGCCCGCCGTGGGAAGCCCGCGTCACGTGGCAGCCTCCGCGCCCATCAGCCCGCCAGCCGGGCCCCGGCCGCCCCTCCCGGCCGTTTCCCCGGGCAGGCAAGCAGGCAGGCGGGCGGGGGCGGGCACATGGGCGCAAGCGCGCGGCCCGGGCCCCGACTCCCAGTCTCCCTGGCCCCTCACCTTTGTCACAACCTTGGTGGCGGCCCCGGGGCCCGTGGCCCCCGCGCCCGCGGTCCCGCCGTCGCCCGGCCGGGTCCCCACGCCCGCCCCACCGCCCGCCGCGCCCGCGGCTCCGCTGCTCCCGCCGGCGACGCCCGCCGAACCCGCGGCGCTTGCCGCCCGGTTGCTCCGCTCCTTCTTCTTCTTCTTGTCTCTCTTGGCGAAGAAGTTGTCCAGGCTCCGCTCCTCCATCTCAGCCATGGTCGCGGCCTCCTCGGCCCGGATGGGTGGGGCCGGCGGCGGGCGCTGCCCGCGGGGCTCCGAGCTCGGGGTCGAGGCCGGCTCGGCGCTCAAGCTCCCGGGCGCGGCGACGCCTCAGCCCCGCGGGGTCGCCGAGGCGTTTGCGGCGGGGCGAGCGGCTCCCCCCGCGTGCTGGCGAATGGTGGTACGGGCCTCCTCCGGGCTCGCGTGCCGCTGCCGCCGCCCCGCCCGCCCGGGCTGCAGCGACAGCGGTGCAGGATCCCGCCCGCTCCGCAGCCGGAGGGCAAAGGGAACGTTCGGGCCAGAGGTTCCAGCGAGAGTGCTAGGCTAGCGGCGGCGCGTGAAGGAGGAAGACGCGCGCACGCAGGCCCAGATAGGAGGGGAAGGGGGTTGGGGAGGGAGGGAGGGGGAGGAGGGCGGGCGGGCCCCCAGAAGAGAGAGGCAACACCCACGCCTGCGTACTTAGCTCCGCCCGCCAGTGTGGGAGAGTGGAGGGGAGGGCGGCGGGAGGAGAAGGAGGCGGGGCTGGAAAAGGAGCCAATCATATGCCAGAACGAAGTGCTTTGGCGACCATCCCTGTCTCGGACGGGGCGGGGCCATGGCTTGGGGGCGGGGAGAGGGTATATGCTAAATGTGACGTGCCTGATGACTCTTGCCTCCCGATTGGTCGAAGGTTTAGCCTTGGGGGCGGGCATTTAGAGGGCTGGTTGGTGACTTGGCTAAAGAGGTCCTGTCGAAGGGGCGGGTAGGTCCCGTCTGGGCGCATGCGTACGATACACGTGTGTCTGCTCGTCAGGGGCCAGCTGGGGCCTTTTAGTCGTTTGAACTTTAGCGAGACGGAAAGGCCCTGTGTTAAGCTAGCTATGTTAAAGATGGTACCACCCGCTATGCTGGCCTCTGTACTTTCACCCTCTCTGGTCTGGCAACTATTCATTTTCATCATAGGGGATGATTGTTATGAAAGTGAGGAGCAGTGGCCTTGAAGTTTAGTTCTCATTTACTAAAAGATCTTAGTAAGCCAGTAGGTAGTTAAAAGGAGATTGGTTTTATCTATTGGTTTTATCTATACTCTACTAGATATTGATTTATCTACCAAGGTCAAGCTAAATCTGACCCTCAAGCTCCTGATCTGTAAAATGGAGATGTTAGCTCTTGCAAGATACTTGGGGAAAGAGTACCTCTTAGTTGCAGTGCTTAATACACATTGGATGCGATAAATGATTTTACATTTAAATAGTATCCCCTGCCCTGAGGAGATGACTGTAATCTATCTTTTTTTTTATCCCTGATAAGAGGAGGGGAATGGCATACCATAGTAATGGGGACCAAATGTGCCCATGCTATACGTGGTTGTGCCATTTAAGTACCTTTTTGGCCTTGAGAATGAAATGAATCCTTGCATATGAAAAAGGGCCTCTAATGTAAGGTATTAAACTTTCCACTTCCTCCTTCTAAAGACAGAGAACTGTCACAACCACTGAGGAAATGACTCAGACTTATGTTAGTAGCCTTGTGGGGTAGATAGAGCACAGCCAATAAATGGAGCTACTTCTTGGTCTTTTCCTTTACAGTTTTTCCGTTAAAGTTTGTCTCCCCCATGCCCCCTCCACCTACACTATTAACGTACTAAGCCTAGAATATGTCAAAGAAGCAAATCAAGGGCCTGGCCTTGGCCAACAGCAAGCTTACGTATAATTCCGCAAACATAAACTGCCCTCAACCATCTGGGATGGGTCTCTAGGTAACTTCCTTCTGTGACACCAGGTATCTTCTTGTGATGCAGGCCAAGTTCAGTATTGCCCTTCCCCCACCTTCCTTAACATCTCTGATCCAATTTCTTTTTCTTCCTTTCTCTCCCTCCCTTGCTTTCCTCCTTCCTCGTTCCCTTCCTTCCTTTTGTTCTTTCTTTCATCATCTGTGAAGGACCTATTTAGCTATATTTAAGGCAATGTCCTTTGTTCCAGGCAGAGTAATTTGTCATTCCTGCCTTCAACTCCGTTATAATCTAGATATAATCTAGATATAATCTAGATAATAATCTAGATAATCTAGAAAAGATCTAGATATGAATAACTGAAATTCAGTCCTCCTTTTCTTAGGTCCCCATCAATGTATCCGTGTCTTGAAAGAAGTAATGATGGGAAAAAAGCAGAGAAGGTACAGCAGTTGAGGGTTAATGCAGTAAAATTCTCTACTACATCTTTCAGTGTGATTGATGGCATGCTCCCCAAACTTGATCATATGTAGAAAACTCAGGTCAGGCCAGTAGAGAGACAAGGGTCTTTGTGGTTGTGTCATTATCTGTAGTTAATAGTCTCCCGCATGGAGCTGGTCTCCTCCACTTTGAATCCCCTGACCTGAAACTGACAGCATATATTCCTACCAGGTTTTCCTCTTAAATCTCCCTTGCTACCCTCCTCCAGATGGGTTACACAGAGCCCTGAATCCTCATCTTCACCCCGTCCTCATCATGAAGCATCATCCAGCTCTCTCGATATTTGGACCTTCCCCATCTTTAAAGCAAAACAGACCTTCATTTGTACTCGGTAGATGGAAAGTTGAATAGTGGCGAGCACTCGGAACATTACCAGGTATTTCAGCACATCTTCTAAGTATCCTAATGCTGTCTGAATGTGGAAATTTCTCTCTGAGTCCTCTGAAGTGGTATAATCCAAAGGACATCATTTATCTCCCTCGACAAGGCCCACTGAGCTCCAATATTCCATGAGCTCAAGAGCTGGCACAGGGCAGCTGGGCCCAGCCCCATTATCCCTGGGTTCTTTTTTGCTGAGCTATTCATTCCAAGTTCCATTCTGCTACCTAGGCTGGAAATTCTACACACGCTCAGCTCAAAGGAATGCAGCTCATGCTGGCCAAAGACTTGCCAGGAAATGGGGAGTAACTTTTCATTTGTGGCTTCCTCTCTCAGATCTGTGAGCTACTGCCTGGCCTGTTCCACTGATGACCTTTTCCAATTGGGGAGCAGCTACTTTCAGGTCACTTCCTCTGGTGAAACCTCTACTGACTTCTACAGGCAGCCTGGTTCCTGACCTTTAAAGGCCCAGAGACCTTTTGTTTGGCATGGGTATTTGATGCTTTTCTGGTATTTGTATGATTTGTTGTTTAACTATTCATCCACTCATTAACTCATTCATTTATGTAAAACATTTATTTAATGAGTACCTACTGTATGCCAGGCCTGATGTTAGGAGTTAAGTATAAGTCAGATATAGGCCCTTCCCTCACAGAGCTTACTGTATGGTAAACTGGTAGCCAGAAGCACACACGTATACATACAATTATAGCACATTGAAAATGTAATAGGGGCCGGGTGGGTGCGCAGCCCTTAGAGCCTGGGTTAGAGGTCCACTCCACCAACATCCTTGCAGTGGTCCTTGCAGCAGAGAGTGCGGTGAGAGGGGGATCACGGCTTTCTCCCTGGGACCCTCCAGGCCCTCCGGCCTCGGGGCCAGCAGGTGAGCTGGGGGGCCCGGGGACAGGGCTGTGTCCTGCGGGGCTCCAGAGTCCTCGCCACAGGCACCCATTGGCCAGGCCCAGGCCTTGAAACAGCCGAGAACCTCTCCCTCATCCCCACTTCTGTGACCTAATGGCAGCGGCTGTCTTCTGCAGGACCTGGCCCCCGTTTGGGTGGCTTGAGGAACATGAGGGCCTGTGGGGTCCTGTGCACCTTGCCCCCTCAGTGATGAAGGCTGGGCGGGTCTGGGGACCTGGCCCTGAGGGCGCCACCAGCTGAGATCTGCCTCTTCAGCCCGGCCTGGGCACTGGAGGGAGGACCCAGACTGGGTGCCGGACTAATGCTCCTGGGCAGGGTAACCGGCCTATGCAAGGACCCCCTCCCCTTAGCCAGGGCCTGGACCTTGGAGGGCGAAAGTTGAGCCTTGGAACCTTGCCCCTTTTAGGTAGAACAGAGGATAACATTTGTTTTGGTGGAGGTTTACAGGAACATGGTGACCTGACCTCAAGAACAAAGGATCTGACACCAAGAAGTTTGCAGCAACTAACCATGCCTCTGTCTTACCTTTCCTAGAAAAGGGCTTTGCTGAAAGCTTTTGGGGAGTTTGGGGTTTTTAAGGCATGAGCCACCCCTCTCCTTGCGTGGCCCCACAATAAACCTTTCTCTGCTCCAAACTCTGATGTTTTGGTATTGTTTCGCCTCACTATGCATTGGACACACGGCCTTGTGTTCAGTGACAAAAACACTTGAAGGTAAGAATGGTGTTGGGCATACAGCCTATGTCACAGAGGCATTTGACCGAAGTTTGTAAAATGTCTCCACTAGTCCCCAGTTTTCCACATTAACAGGGGATTGCACAAACCATGGACTATCTAAGTGTTCCTTAACATCTTTCCTTGTTGGCTTTAGAATACATAGCCAGTCATGTGTAGCCAAAAATTTGACCTTCTTCCTCAACCTCAAGTCCCTCGTTAGCTCGTCCTTGACATTAAGGTTCTAGTTGGAGGATAAATGGTTAACAAGAGGAATGAGGTCCCAGACACCAGTGGCTACCCAGAAGAGCCTGTTTCCAGAAAGAGGTAAAGGGTTGCCATGCATGACCCTGCACCCCCCCCCCCACCATATATAAACCTACCACCAAGGCTTGCAAAAGGGAGTTGGACTCATTAAGCCCACCTCTAGTGGATCAGGTCTGCTGTTTGTTGAACCACACGAAATTGCAGCTATCTGTTTTTTAACCTACCAAAATAGCAGTTCCATATGGTTCAACTTAATATATCTGAGAATAAACAAAAAAATTATGTAAATGAATGAAGAGCTTGGGAACAACCAACCCACCCATTAAGGTGATGTCCTTGATGTAATCTTAGGGTGGAAGGGCTGGAATGTGATGGCAGTTGAATAATCAGCAATCTAATCAATTGTATTCTATGGAGAATGCATGAAACAAAGAGAAAGAATGAGGCTGGCATATAGAAAGAGGAAGGAAAAAGAAGTAGGGTAAAGCCAAGAGGCTAGAAGTTGGCACTTATTACCTACCACTGTCCAGGAAAGAGCAACATGAAATTGGAGCTCACACCATACCCTGCTGTGAGGCGGAGATGACTCTCCAAACCCCACCCTGACTTGGATTATTACATCTGCCTCCCTTAACTCACCAACCAGCCTGCTGATGACTGATTTGGCTCCCAGGGATTGCTTATATTGGGAAAAGGGTGCTCTGGTTGAGGGAGGAGACAGCCAGTTACTGGAGGACTAACACCAACTGTTAATGAATACATGGGCATCTGGTTATATACTTCAGCCTCCTATGCGTTGGATTGTTGGGAGTCAGTCTTCTCTAGGCAGACAAACCTCAGAACACTGACTTGGCTGTGAAACAGTTTCAGCTCTGTGGTAAATTGATCAAGGTAAAACTACCCTGGGTGGCCTCTTTGGGAGCCAGTCAGATGACTCTGGCACAATGCAAAACCTTCTGACTCAATCGTTTTGATCATAGAGTGCAAGGATATAATTATGTTGGCAAGGTACCATTATCCTATCCCTGACCTTAACTCCGGTCCTAATCCCATTTCATGACCCAACAAGTAAATGTGAAATTGTCTGACATTTTCTGCTTCTGAATGAGAGCCAGCCCAGTCTTGGTTACCAAGTCAGTAGGTCAATAGTACTGTCATCCTCCTTGGACTAAAAAAGCAGGAAAAGGGTGAGGGTGTAGGGAGCCTAGAGAGAGCTTCCCATACTAAAGGCAAGTCCTTTACATTCTCACAAGCACCTTGCTCTTTACTTCATGATCAAGCACCTGTTTTTTTGCAGTACACGGGCCTCTCACTGTTGTGGCCTCTCCCGTTGCGGAGCACAGGCTCCGGACGTGCAGGCCCAGTGGCCATGGCTCACGGGCCCAGCCGCTCCGCGGCATGTGGGATCCTCCTGGACTGAGGCACGAACCATGTCCCCTGCATCGGCAGGTGGACTCTCAACCACTGCACCACCAGGAAAGCCCCAAGCACCTGTTTTCTAAAGTCAGACCTGGACTCAAATCACAGCTCTGCCTCTTCCTTGCAAGTCACTTAGCTTCTCTGCATCTCAGGTTTTTTCACCTGTAAATTAAGGATGATAAACACACCTGCCTTGTGGAGCTGTGAGGACTCAATGAGAGGATGGAATTGAAGCCCACCCAGCTCAGTGTCTGACACAGAGTCATCCCAGTTACTGTTAGTTATTATTATTAATAGTATTCTTGTTATTACTAAGGCATGTAACATGATTTATAGTTGCATAGGGGTTTTTGGTGACTGTTCCTTTATCTGTCCTCTCTGACCCTGCGGCTCATTACTGGGTCTTCATTTCCTGCTGAGTGGGTGCCAGCCCCATAGTAAACAATAACTAAACATTTGCTGACAATTAAAAAAATAATTAAAAAGACAATTTAAGAGGATGGCAGAGTAGAGGGACGTGCGCTCACTCTCTCTTGCGAGGACAATGGAATCACGACTAACTGCTGAACAATCATTGACAAGAAGACACTGGAACTCACCAGAAAGATATCCCACATCCAAAGACAAAGGAGAAGCCATAATGACATGGTAGGAGGGGCGCAATCACAATAAAATCAAATCCCATGATGGCTGGGTGGGTGATGCACAAATCGGAGAACACTTATACCACAGAAGTCCACCCACTGGAGTGAAGGTTCTGAGCCCCACATCAGGCTTCCCAACCTGGGGGTCTGGCAATGGGAGGAGGAATTCCTAGAGGATCAGACTTTGAAGGCTAGCAGGATCTGATTGGAGGACTTTGACAGGACGGGGGGAAACAGAGACTGTACTCTTGGAGGGCACACACAGAGTAGTGTGCACATTGGGACCCAGGGGAAGGAGCAGTAACCCCACAGGAGACTGAACTAGACCTACCTGCTGGTGTTGGAGAGTCTCCTGCAGAGGTGGGGGGTGGCTGTGCCTCACCATGAGGACAAGGACACTGGTAGCAGAGGTTCTGGGAAGTCCTCCTTGACATGAGTCCTCCCGGAGTCCGCCATTAGCCCCACAAAAGAGCCAGGTAGGCTTCAGTGCTGGGTCACCTCAGGCCAAACAACCAACAGGGAGAGAACCCAGCCCCACCCATCAGCAAGCAAGCAGATTAAAGTTTTACTGAGCTCTGCCCACCAGAACAATACCCAGTCTACCCACCACCAGTCCCTCCCATCAGGAAGCTTGCAGAAGCCTCTTAGATAGCCTCATCCACCAGAGGGCAGACAGCAGAAGCAAGAAGAACTACAATTCTGCAGCCTGTGGAAGGAAAACCACATTGACAGAAAGACAGACAAAATGAAAAGGCAGAGCACTTTGTACCAGATGAAGGAATGAGATAAACCCCCCCAAAAAACTAAATAAAGTGGATATGGGCAACCTTGCAGAGAAAGAATTCAGAATAATGATAGTGAAGATGATCTAGGAACTCAGAAAATGAACGGGGGCAAAGATTGAGAAGATTCAAGAACTGTTTAACAAAGACCTAAAAGAATTAAAGGACAAACAAACATAGATGAACAATACAATAACTGAAATGAAAAATACACTAGAAGGAACCAATAGCAGAATAACTGAGGCAGAAGAACAGATAAGTGACATGGAAGACAGAATGGTGGAATTCACTGCCCCGGAACAGAGTAAAGAAGAAAGAATGAAAAGAAATGAAGACAGCCTAAGAGACCTCTGGGACAACATTAAATACAACAACATTCGCATTATAGGGGTCCCAGAAGGAGAAGAGAGAGAGAAAGGACCGAGAAAATATTTGAAGAGATTATAGTTGAAAACTTCCCTAACATGGGAAAGGAAATAGCCACCCAAGTCCAGGAAACACAGAGAGTCCAAGGCAGGATAAACCCAAGGAGAAACATGCCAAGACACATAGTAATCAAATTGACAAAAATTAAAGACAAAGAAAAATTACTGAAAGCAACAAGGGAAAAGTGACAAATAACATACAAGGGAACTCCCATAAGGTTAACAGCTGATTTCTCAGTAGAAACTCTACAAGCCAGAAGAGAGTGGAATGATATATTTAAAGTGATGAAAGGGAAGAACCTACAACCAAGATTACTCTACCCAGCAAGGATCTCATTCAGATTCCATGGAGAAATCAAAAGCTTTACAGACAAGCAAAAGCTAAGAGAATTCAGCACCAACAAACCAGCTCTAAAACAAATGCTAATGGAACTTCTCTAAGTGGGAACACAAGAAAAGGACCTACAAAAACAAACCCATAACAATTAAGAAAATGGAATAGGAACATACATATGGATAGTTACCTTAAACGTGAATGGATTAAATTGTCCAACCAAAAGACACAACCTTGCTGAATGGATACAAAAACAAGACCCATAAATATGCAGTCTACAAGAGACCCACTTCAGACCTATGGACACATACAGACTGAAACTGAGGGGATGGAAAAAGATATTCCATGCAAATGGAAATCAAAAGAAAGCTGGAGTAGCAATACTCATATCAGATAAAATAGACTTTAAAATAAAGAAAGTTACAGAGACAAGGAAGGACACTACATAATGATCAAAGGATCAATCTGAGAAGAAGATATAACAATTATAAATATATATGCACCCAACATAGGAGTACCTCAATACATAAGGCAACTGCTAACAGCTATAAAAGAGGAAATTGACAGTAACACAATCATAGTGGGGGACTTTAGCACCACACTTACACCAATGGACAGATCATCCAAACAGAAAATTAATAAGGAAAGAGAAGCTTTAAATGACACAATAGACCAGATAGATTTAATTGATATTTGTAGGACATTCCATCCAAAAACAGCATATTACACTTCCTTCTCAAGTGCACATGGAATATTCTCCAGGATTGATCACATCTTGGGTCACAAATCAAGCCTCAGTAAATTTAAGAATATTGAAATCATATCAAACATCTTTTCCAACCAAAATGTTATGAGATTAGAAATCAATTACAGGGGAAAAAAAAATAAAAAACACAAACACATGGAGGCTAAACAATACGTTACTAAATAACCAAGAGATCACTGAAGAAATCAAAGAAGAAATCAAAAAATACCTAGAAACAAATTACAATGAAAACAGGACAATCCAAAACCTATGGGATGCAGCAAAAGCAGTTCTAAGAGGGAAGTT